CTCTCCATCTTGTACTTTCTTACTCACTTTGTGCACTTTGTGAGCTTGGCAGCGATCAGTGAAGTTGGCTTCACTGGATTCCGCTGTACGATGAAGATGACCCAGAGCTTTGTTCAAACTTAACCCGCAATATAGAAGCTAGACTGACTGAGAAAGCAAGAGAATGGAATCAGGACGTGATAAAATCGGCTTTGATAAGAAGCGCTGAGAAGATATAACAATGAGGAAGAAATAACCAAAAAGATAAATTACCTGGAGGTCTTTTTGGTGGTGCTGCTTGAATGACTGAAGGTGGAGAGCGCAGATAACTAAGAGTTCGATCTAGGAATAGTGGCCTTTGTCGATGCCTTTGAGCTAGGTAGCGGTACAAATGGGTGGGAATAGCAAACGCCTTGATAAATGCTTCGTGGCATTCCTGAATGCTGATGTTTGTTGATTTTTGTTCCCAACCACTGGCTAACTCCATTTTTGATGGGATCGACTTGGAAATATCCGAGTTTCTGACAGATTTCATTGATATTTCCAATGGTTTCCTGCGCCTATACCTGGGTGGCCGGCGGAAATAGATGCGACGACTTGTCGGTCGTCGCTCAACAACAGGTGGTGGATTGGCGTCAACAACCTCGCTCGTTTCTTCCTTGACTTTGACATTTTCCGTTGGTTGAGAATCCACGGTTTTCTTGATTCTATGTGACGGGGAAAATGCATTGCGGGAAGATAGTTGGTGCCTGAGAACTAAAAGTGTAGAATTGCTGCCAAGATTTTGCCGAGAAGATTGAGCAGAGGACCGTCGCGCCGCAGTGCGTTGCTTTCGTGCATGCGATTGATGAACACAGGGTCTTCGGGATGATGCATTGAGTCTCTAGTGGTTGACAGAGAAATAAAGCAAATAGCTGGTTGCGAAACATCAAGGAAATTGGAACAATATACAAAAACGGATGGGCGATTAGCAACGAGAAAGATGAAGGACTCCAAAATGTAACACCGGCAGGAACTGTCGCTGAATTTATCAGCTATCTTGATGAAACTAAAAAGTTGTACACCGTCGCCGGATACAGCGATCAACAGGGGGGAACGAATGAATGATTAATCAACCAAAAAGATTCAAGCACAAAATTGGTAGCATTGGTGCGTATTAATTACCTTTTGCCATCAGACAGCAAATCACAGTCAGGCAGAACCCCCAATACAGTACAATACGCGTATACATTACAGACGAGTCTCGGAAACGGAAATAAATTCTAGCATCGAGATCGACTACTAACGTGCGTGATTAAAGCCTACAGAGCCAAACCGAAGACGATCGGTTCGATCGGTTCTTCGTTGATATTACGACTCAGAAGCTGAGAGAAGCTCTTTCTGTCTAACCTCTTTGAGCCGTTTTTCATACCCCACCCTAAATTTATCTGCGAAATACACTTGATTTTCTCAACCCTGAAGCAAAAATTGCAAACAGGATTCAGTATGGCAGATTGGTAAAGAAACGTAAAACGTGTCCCAGTCAGAGAATTCAGCTTAAGTTGAGTGATCGATACTACTGGATGCACCAGGTCTTAGTTGCTGTCAACCCGTCCGCTTCATCTCACAGGTTAAAGGCGATATCTCCAACAAAAAAGTCGAATGGGGTAACAGAAAACATTTTCATTATATTCCAGAAAATCTTAGTTCTTCATAGAGCCGAGCTCCCTGTATAAGAGCTAAACTGAGAGAGCAAGAGGTGAGACCAACAAGAAAAATTAAGTGGTAATAGGAGTGTCATTTTGTTGATAAAAGTAACCTATCGTATATAAATATTTATATTTTCCAATGTGATCACCTTCAAGAGTGAGCGTAATTACATAGATTTCATTATTGATTGTTGTGGTCTGTCGTACTCTTTTGATTTTTCTAAGCCAAAAGGATCACTGATGTGTTCAGCGTTTCAGTTAGTAGAAAACAGTTCGCTTTGGGCTCCAAAGTATGAACTCTGCCCGGACCAATCAACTCCAGAGACAGACAGCAACGCTGTCGCCCATTCCACTGAAACCGTATGCGAGGGGACATTCCGAGTAACAAGACCTAGGTAGCTGATAGTCATTGTTGAACAGCAGAGCAACGCAATCACGTAATTATAAGAGTAGCCGAGATTAAAAACAACCGAAAATGTTGCACGATAGTCCACGCTTAATGAGTGCATAAAATAAAACATAATAGTGCAACTGAAAAATGTTCGCAACTACTTCTTTCCCCTTATGGGCTACGGTTTAAGAAACAAATGCACTTGTGAGAATCAAGTAACGCAGCCGATGTCGAAGATATCATTTCAACTGGAACCCGGGCATTCCAGACACGACAATAGTATACTTCCGTGATCGCAACAGAGTAAAAAACTTTGGAGTAGTATTGACATGTTTCAAAGAGCATAACAATCGATTGATTTGGTGCACGCCTTTAATGTGTGCGAAGCCTAATTTTGACTTCAATATTTAGGCGTCAAATATTGTGGTGGGGTAACCGAGTCCAGCAACTTCCTATCTTAGTTAGTATATGAACAGAAACTTCTCCAATGTTATGCTTGGGTTCAGATACGGAAGCAAACATAGAACAACAATGACTGAAAGTACTAACAGAATAAAGCGTAGAAATGGAGGAAAAACTGAGTAGTCCCATCAATAAATTCCGATTCTTTTACTGAGATGACTGGTCTTACGATTAGGGATCTTATGTGCGAACTGAATGGTGCAGTCGGAACGCACACGTCACCGGATGTACCTTGAGTGGTCGCCTTGACCGAAAATTACGATTGGTCACATTCCTGCGGGTTGTCTGTGAAGCCTGGGGAACGGATGAGCGTTGTGGTGAACGATTGCATCCATCAGTGGTGGATCTCTTGGAGCAACGACTATTAGATCGGTTACGTCGGTCAATCGAACCTTTGCGGCGGCTGTATTCGGAACTTTTCGCCTCATACTCAAAAGATGTGTCCATCAATCGGTTGAATGTCTAAAAATAGAGAACAGTAAAATTTATACATAGGAAACAGGTAAGGTACAAACACTTCAATTAATAAAAACCGGAGAGCAGAATGTGGGTGATAACTTGATATCGATGTGGAGATTAATTTCATTTTACACAGTGCGTTATAATAATCCTCTGCTTGTGTTGTTGGCTTATCAACGGGGGTATATGGGTATTCATATATTTTTACGACATTCATGCCACCGGTGTCTTTTCAGATGAATATCCTTTGTAGCTTTCAACCAGTGAGATTCACAATCCCTCGGAACCCAACCAGTCGGAATAGATTAACTAGAGCAAATGCTGTTGACAACTTCATGACCTTATGCCAAGCCAAGGACTGATCACCTAAACACTGATTCCACTCAGGCTCAGGTGATCAGTGGACAAGATGAGCAAACCTGCGTAGCGTATGTACAGGGTTGCCCTATCTCTCCGTTTCTCTTCAAATTGCCATAGATGTTGTTCTATAAAAAGCGTTACTTAACGTAACATTGAGCTTCTTCCTGTAAACAGAATCGCCGACTTAGAGTATGCCGATGATATTGTCTAACTCGGTGACAACGCACCGACGATTCAATAACCTCTGTATTGTTTGGCCATTGACGTTACTCCTTATGGTATGGCCTCTGCACCTTTAAAGTGCAAAATGTTATTTCAAAATTGGTAGGAACCCGTTACTGCACTTTTGTTGGGTGATGACACCCTGGAAATAGTCGCAAGCTTTGTCGCCCTCGGGAGTTGCATAACGGCTGGCGGAGGTGTGGGCGAGGAGATCTCTCAACGCGTGGTCAAACCCGGATTAGCGTTTGCTAATCTGCGGCATCTTTGGCATCGTCGCGACATTCCTTTCACTGAAAGGCCGTGCGTTTTGCGCACCGGAAAGCACCGTTGCTCTATGGCTGCAAAACCTGGCCTCTCAGAGTAGATCATGTCCAACGACTACCCGTTGTATGCGCAACATCGTCCGCATATGGTGGGAGCATTGTGTGAATAACGATGGTGTCAGACGACGTGTGTTAGGATCAGACAGTTTTCCATTGAGAAATATAATTTCACTGCATCTTTTTAGGTTGCTGGGGCACGCCCGGCGAATGCCTGAGCAACGTCTACCATGCCGTGCACTATTTGCAGATATCGGCTGGAGGAAATTACGAGGTGGGCAGGCTATGGCGTGGCGTAAAGGGTTAAAGAGATCGCGCTCTGATTTGGCTTCCGTCGGAGCTCCCCGACTGGGGCTCAAAGATTTAGATCGTCTTTGGCTGGAGACACTACGGGATTATAACATCGAAGCAAATTCAGTAGATGGGGACTCCGAGATCACGGTAATCGATAGTTAGAGACACTGAATGATATGACCGTGTCGCAAACAATGGCGCTCATACATCTACTCAATATTCTTGCAACTCTAGTCTCTATGAACTCACTATCTTAACCTTAAATTTGCTCTCAAAATTCCAATCTACATTCTGCTCTCTTATCCAAATGGGCAGCCAAAAGACAACAAACGAAAGCGGCGCACGAAGGTGCACGATTAATGGTTGTAAAAACTGAAACTGTTTGCTGAGTTCGGGTTGATGATTGTAAATGGTCAGAGCCTCGGTTCAGTTGCATAAGTTGATACCTGTGCTCGTGGTGTACAATACGTAAAACAGTTGTCACGCCTCATGCAGTGCTCCTCCCAGAGATGTTTCACAATGTGCGACTGGCGTTTTCCGACTCTGGAGGATGACGTAATCCTTGTGAACTTGCTGGTATGTCCCTAACCTCAAACGACTAATCCGGTTCTGTTCTACCGACACAGGTGGCAGAGCATTAACATTCGCTCTAGTGAATACAATTAAAATTAGTACTCATCCCTTCATGTTAACATTTCTCACTCTCCTTAGGTAGAAAGCACTTACCCATCCATCGCTAGATCAATAAATGTAAAAGCGTGCAGTTTCGCCTGAGGTGTAATTGTAACAATTACAGCTTACATTTTATATATATATATATATATATATGTCCGGGACAACGGACAGAAGGATTGAATGGAAGTTTGAATGAGGCTATTATATGCAACGCACATTGCACTTGCTGCTCGGAGAATGGATTCGAGACGAACAAAGATCGAAGAATAACTGCGATGTGTTGTGGGTTAGATGCCTTTAACCACATCCAGCTCTACGCCAGGGCCGTTTTTCGGTTTCTATAATCAGTAATATATGAGTGAGCAAACACAGATTCCCAGAAGCACATGACCAGTCTCGCGGTCCTTGCCGCGGGAGTTCAACTATAAGAATGATTTGACACAAGATTACCGGATAAACCTACCTGACAGGCGGAAAACGAAACCCGTCTTGTGCTTATGAGAAACTTTAGTCATTCGTGTAAGACTTATTAGAGGCCAGTATATATTCAGCATATGTTACTACCGGCTTGCGAGCAAGCTTGGTGCCAACGCAACGAGAAAAAAACAATTTTTTCGTTTGTTTCATCGTAAACTTCTATTTATTTGTGTTTAGTTTACTGGTTCATGGGACATGAGATTTTAACAGGCGGACCGACCTACAGCATTTGCGCCACTGACTTCTATTCTGCATTATGTCTCAGTATCTATAAACTAACGACAATACTCATCTCTTGGGCCCCAACCCGGAGGGCGGGCTACACCAACCAAAGTCAAAGCTGAAGTCAGCTTCTTCATGCCTCTACGCCATGTCATCGTCTGACTGACGCGGCGCTTCTTCCAGTGCAAAGAGAGTACGGGAAGGTAGTCGATGCACACAGAGGGTGAATGCAAGCACAGGCTCCTATCAGCCATGAACAAGAACTGTGTATCTGGACGATGCACATGCTGTACCTGGATACCTGTATCGCCAAGCTGTTTAAAGCTTCTTGGACTACCTGTGTGTTGGCACCCGGCATATTGTCAGAGAATCGTATTTTTGGACATCAGCTCGTTCTGTTGTGGAGGATTGGACCCGGATTATGCACACACGTCTAAGACAAAACTCTGTGACAAATGAATCATACATCACACACAAATCAAACAAAAAAGGAAGTCCCATGATTTGCATGTGGGTGCAATACTGCTTGGTTACCCAGGCCAAAACAGGTGGATTTTTTTAGGGAGTTCACGACCGGAGCCTTCGGTTAACCAAAGCCGGACCCACAAGGCAGTGGGGTGGGGTGTAAAAACCGCCATCCATTGGGGTCGGTGTCCCGATCTTAGGCACATTGGACGAGGTCAAACGTCCAAGATGTCCAATACACTTCGAGACCCAGTTGAGCCGGTGACCATTGCAGCAACCAAGGAGTCCGGGTGTGGTTCTTACGCCTGCTCGTGGTTGGTTTGGAATGAGGGTTTTTAGCCAACCTCCTTAGGTGAACTGTCCGTCTTTCACCAACCCGGATATTGGCTTTTGGTCCTCTCACTTTCGTGGGAAACACCTCTGCCACAGTAACGTAGTGAATGGGGCTTCCTCAGCAGGGGCTATTTGAGACGCTTGACAGTATAGGAGCATTTCGCGAGGTGTAAGGGAGGGGTGGCCATGCTCAACCCGAGACACCCATCCCCAGCCATGCAAAGGCTTTCGGAATAGGTGATTATGTAGTTAGATTGAAGTCAATGAACGTTAGAAGTACGTCGTGAGGCTTTCGTTGGTGGCAGCACACATCGGGGAACATAATGGATGCAAGGCATCTAAAAACGCATTCCCACTGACTTATGTCGACTTCGGCATCGGCTATTGGTATAAAGTGATCGTAATATTGAAATAAACTTCTCGGACACATCCTTTAGGGAAAGGCAACGCCAGAGTTTAGAGCGGCCGGCTGAATCGAAGGCCGCTTTCAAATCGACGAAAACAGAGATGGTCAGATAGAGAGGACAACCCTGTCGAATACCACTTTCCGTGGTGAACTCGGATGAAAAAGTGCCGTAAGCTGGGACTCGGTTTCGGTTATTAGTATAAATGGATTGTAAGATTGAAATAAACTTCTTGGACACACCCTTTACAGCGAGGCACAGCCAGCGTTTATAGCGGTCGACTGAGTCGAAAGCCGCTTTCAGATCGAGGAAGAAAGAAATGGTGGGTCTACGAAAGGAGTGTCTGTGTTCTAAAATTTGACGAAGAGTGAAGATGTGGTCGAGACAACCTCGGCCGGGTCTGAAACCAACCTGGTTCTCACGCGTGCACCCTTCACGTGCGGCAGACAATTGACGGAGTATAACACCAGCGAGAAGTTTGGAGACCATGTTGATTAAACTAATTCCTCTGTAGTTTTCACAAGAGGACCTGTCGCCTTTCCTGTAAATCGGTATGATCACCTATTCACACCATTCCGTTGGAACCTCTTCTCTCTCCCACACTGAGCCCAGGAGACATTTTAACTCCGAAACCAAGTCTGAACCTTCATCCTTAAAAACCGATGGGGACAGCCCGTCGGGGCCGGAAGCCTTATGCCGTTTGAGATAACTTATTTCCTGGGAAAACCCCATTTCAGATGGAGAACTGACAGTATTTGCGCAAATGAAGTGGGTAAGGGGAGGTCTTGTGTTGACGGGAACCAGCTGAACTGTGCCTTCAAATGTTCAAATCAACGTTCAAGACGGCGTTCGTGAATTTTAATCAGTGTGCCATCAGATTCTTTACTTACCTCACTTATGCTTAATCTCCCCCGTCCCCCAGGGCAACCAGTTTTACATCGCCTTCAGTTATCCCTCACAGAGCCCGATGATGCCTAACAGTTTGCATACAAACATAACCGCTCAACACTGGATGCCGTTTCTTCTCTAGTTCATTTCATCTGTAAGTCCCTTAACCAGGACGCCGAATATCTGCTCTGTGCATTTCTTGATTATTCCACTTTTGACTCGGTGCCCCGTTCCTTTCAACTTAATAAGCTGCAATCGCTTGGCTGTCTCACTTCTCTTCTTCAATGGCTTGCTGATTACTTGTCGCAAAAATATCAGTATGTCAAATTGGGAAGAATACAGTCCACTGTATCACTCAATGGTACGGGTGAACATCAAGGTGCTATCCTATCACTCCCTTTTTGCGTCTTATACCATCAAGAAGAGATTGCTCCTTCACGTGGTGTGATAGCTTGTGCAACTCTCTGACCCAACGAGCTATATAGGAGATCCTACCATGCCTGTAAGATCAATGGTAGAGATCAGACGAACTCCAGTCTCCTGGTCCTCCAGGTTCGGCGTTCGACTCGAGTTAGCGTCTGGACTCCGATCCCGAACACATCTCCTCCTGGGGCATTGCAAACCACGTTTCATTCAACAGTTCTAAAACCTCTTTCCATTTCTTTAAAACACCATTCATTCTCCCCCATTAATCTTTTACTTCCAACCAGACTAAGAACGGGTGGAAGGGTATAATTTGCATACACACAGATCAAAATGTAAAGGATGGGTGCAATCGGATAGGATATTGTCAGCAAACTTCAAGCACTCATCAATATGGGCATTACGCATATTGCCAATCAGAACAGAACGGAATTTGAGAGAAACGGTTGATCATCGAGAGGTCACGCCTCAGCAAATTGAAATCAGCCTCCAGCAAACCAGGGAAAATTACAGGGGAGCAGTAAAGGGGTATAGGGAGAACACATTGTTGAGCAAAAAAGTCCATCTATAAATCAGAACAGAAGTGAGAGAGAACTTTCCACTTGCGAGCAACAGTTTGGGTACGTAAGTACCAGCGAAGGTTACTTTCAAGTGTTACACCAAAGTACTTCACGAGTCCTACTCTGCTCATCGACTTTCCCTGAATCTGTACGTTGTCGGAGGGAGATGGGGAACGGTTTAGAGTCAAAATACATTCGAGCCTTTTTTCAGGATTAAGATTAAGACAGGATACAAAATACGAAACGAGGTGGGATAAACTTGTGTTAAATTCAACAACAAGAACGCCACTGCTGTCGGTTCGCTGCCATATCCTTCAACATCCCAACCAACCAGTTGTGGAGTCTTTCGGATCCCAACCTGTAAGGCTCGAGACGCCTACTCTACCTAATGGCTCTGTGCATTTCTTCATGCCTAGTCTCCACGTCATCTGTTGACCTCCACGTGGTTTCCTCCAGCCCGGATTAGCTACAGCGAATAAAGCGCAGTGCGGCAGACGATGGCTGGGCATACGAAATACGTGCCCTAGCCACCGAAGCCTAGTAATCTGAATTCGGTATGCTAGCAGGTTTATACCTGATAGACTCCCAAACACACGACGGCTAACCTCCACGTTACTAACCCGTTCGCTCCATCCAAAGTGGGCTAAATGGCGCAAACACCGATAATCGAAAACTTCTAGTCGACGAATATCTTCTACTCGCAAATTCAAGGTTTCACTACCACAGAGCAGAACTGAACGAACGGCGGCACAATATACACGATCTTTCAATTTCAGTGAAACGTCGCGTCTACGCCAGAGGTGTTTCAGTCCTGCGTATACTGCTCAAGCCTTGGAAATGCGGGCGGTTATCTCTTTTGTTGCACTACCGTCATTGGTCACGCAACTACCTAAGTAGGAAAAATAATCCACCATAACTAAATCCTGACCATTTAGCTTCAGAGCGGGAGTAGACGAAACCCAGTCCTGCAGCATCATTTTGCACTTTGAAGGTGCAAAGCACAAACCTAATGTGGCAGATTGGATGCTAGGGAAGCAGCTTTGATTAGCCGGATGGCCTTTCGTTGAACAAGATAAAGAAGCGAAAGGAAGGAGGACGAAGCCTCACCCCACACGTGACTGGTGCGAAATAGAAACCCCACATTGCGCGCAGCACGAGAAGCAAGCTTAACTATAAAAGGGGACAAGCATAGAGAAGTTATAGGCAATCCAAGGAGGGAAACCGAGTCTGTGGAACACAGCTGGTTGGAATTAAAAGATTAATGGGGGAGAATGAATGGTGTTTTAA